TTTTCACCTTAGGAAATATTGTAACCAGGTTTCCTTTAATTTGTAAATGTAATGTGACATCGTTGTAATAAGAAGGAACGAATGTTTTATTTCTCATTTTCGGGAACAAGGAACGCGCGAGCGATACACGCGGGGAACGCACTGGGAGGTGAACGTGGGAACCTCGATTTCAGGCATCGGGGAGACCACAGCAAATGCACGGGTAAGGTAATTTCCCTCATACCTTTCCCGTGTAAACGTTGTGAGTTCCCATACGTTTGCCATCAATCGTTTTACCCGTGCGTTTTATTGTGTTTCCGGTGCGTTTTACCACGGGTATGCCGTAATCGCGTAAGTCCGCATCGTGTGTTTCATCGTGGGTACCTCCTGAGCTGACTACTTACTCCCCCGTACAATTGCTGTAGTTCCTGCAATCCCTGCGCTCTTCTACTACACTCTAGGATCGCTGCGCGTTCCTTTCTTTTTACCCCGAGTTCCTTCCGGGCGTGTCCTTCCCCCACCCCGCGTTCCCCGCGAGTTCCCGGTGGGTTCCCTACTGGGTTCGTTCCAACATTCTAAATTTCATAATTCGCCAGGTAAGTGCCCTGATGTGTTAGCTTTTTAGTTTCTCTGACAGTCAAATGGAAATGCCATACCTTTCGTCTTCTTAATGAAGCCCCCTTCTTCAAGCCAGTAAGCCATATGTGAAAACGTTAAGAAAGCGTATAACGGACTAATACAAAAAAAGACTTTATCAAGATACAAGGCCTAAAATTATTCGTGGTAACATTTAGTGTGGTACAAGGATGAGAGAATCGCGTGATAAAAAAAATGTGACCGTAAGTTATTGTATGTTTAAATGTTTAAATGAACACTTCAGAATTCATTTAAAAACGAAGGAAATGTTTAGACATTGATCAAGAACTGTAAAAATGTGAATAGTTTTTGAAAAATTACCTATTGTGTTATTGTTAGCTCATACAGGTTCACGTGAACTCCCTATGAACAAGGAAAATGCAAAATTTTCTCAGAGTAAAGCGTGCAAAGGGTGTTGTCTTTAGAATTTGTGAAGTGCCTGTTAGCTGATTGGTCTAATTTTATTTTGCATATTCATGATGACTGTTGCTGACCTGAGGTGCTTGTTTGTCATTTTGAGATGTTTGCCGTCGGAGTAAGATGTGAACTGCTCCCTTCTACACGAGAAGCAGATTCTTTCTTTAAAGAAGAAATGACGTCCACATTTGGGAAAGGATAGTCGGTTGACACCCATTTCTGTCAATGGTTAGTACCAATTTCTTTGCATTCTACCTTTGCAAGTAATACTTCAACCAAAAATACCGGCTCCAAGTCCTACCACGTGCGCTAGACAGACT